TGCAGCATTATTAAGTGTCTCTGATAAAACAAATCTTTTACCATTTGCTAAAAAATTACATGAACTAGGTTTGACATTAGTTGCTTCTGGTGGAACAGCAAAATCTTTGAGAAATGCTGGTCTTCCAATAAAAGATGTTTCTAATATTACTGGTGCTCCTGAAATGCTTAATGGAAGAGTTAAAACTCTTCATCCTGCTGTTCATGCTGGTATGAATGAATCTATATATTTAAATTTATTTTTAATATTATTTATATTATTTATATTATATAGATGATATTATATAAGAATTTTTTTTATTTTGTAGGTATATTAGCTAGATTCACAGAGTCAGATCAGCAAGATCTTCATAAACAAAATTATGAACTTATTCAACTTGTAGTATGTAACTTATATCCATTTGTAAATACAGTTACAAAACTAGAAGTAAAAATTGAAGATGCAATAGAAAACATAGATATTGGTGGAGTAACTTTATTACGAGCTGCTGCTAAAAATCATAATAGAGTAACAGTTATTTGTGATCCTAATGATTATGAAAAAGTTGGAAAAGAGATGCAATCTTCTATTAACAAAGATACCTCTTTGGAAACTAGGTATTTAAATTTAAAAATTTAAATTAAAAAAAATAGTATTTATTAAAATATATACTTTATTAAAATAAATTTTAGAGAAAGTAATTTATTTTATATTTTTAATAATTTATATTAAAATAAATTTTAGATAAAATAATTTATTCTATATTTTTAATAATTTCTCTCATATTTTTAGACAGTTGTTAGCAGTTAAAGCATTTACTCATACAGCAGAATATGATAATGCAATCTCAGATTATTTCCGTAAACAATATAGTAATGGAGTTTCTCAATTGACATTGAGATATGGAATGAATCCTCATCAAAAACCTGCACAAATTTTTACAACTTTAGATAAATTACCATTAACAGTAGTAAATGGTTCTCCCGGTTTTATTAATCTCTGTGATGCATTAAATGGTTATCAATTAGTAAAAGAATTGAAAGTAGCTCTAAATTTACCAGCTGCAACATCTTTTAAGCATGTTAGTCCAGCTGGGGCAGCAGTTGCTGTGCCATTAGACATAGTACAAGCAAAATTATGTCAAGTAGATGATTTATTAGACCAGCTTACACCATTAGCAACTGCTTATGCGCGTGCACGAGGAGCCGATAGAATGTCTAGTTTTGGAGATTTTATAGCATTATCAGATACATGTGATGAAGTTACTGCTAAAATTATATCTAGGTAATATATGTTATAATCAAAGAATGAAATGAACAAATTATTTATTTATATATTTATAAAAAATTTTAGAGAGGTTTCTGATGGCATTATTGCACCTGATTATTCAGAAAATGCACTCAAAATTTTAAAAAAGAAAAAAAATGGTGCCTATTGTATACTTCAAATTGATCCAAATTATATGCCACCTCAAATGGAGCATAGAGTTTTATTTGGATTAACTATGGAACAAAAACGTAATGATGCAATTATTGATAGAAATATATTTTCTAATATAGTAACCAAAAAGTATACAACCATTTCTGATTCTGCCATGAGGGATTTAATTGTAGCTACTATTGCTTTAAAATATACACAAAGTAATTCAGTATGCTATGCAAAAGATGGGCAAGTAATTGGAATTGGTGCAGGACAACAATCAAGAATTCATTGTACAAGACTTGCTGGTGATAAAGCTGATAATTGGTATATTACACTTTCAATATTTGATATTATTAATATTGACATATTAATATTATTGAATGTTATAATATGATATTTATTTTCAGGTGGCTTCGACAGCATCCTAAAGTTATTAATATGAAATTTAAGAAAAATGTAAAAAGAGCAGAAATTTCAAATGCTATTGACAATTATGTAAACGGATTTATTGGGAAAGACATGGATGAAGCTTCTTGGGAAGCAATGTATGAGGAAGTACCACAGAAACTTTTAGAAAATGAAAGAATAGAATGGATAAAAAAAGCAGATAATATTGCTTTGAGTAGTGATGCTTTTTTTCCATTTAGAGATAATGTGGATAGAGCTAAATTAGTATGTAATTTAATTATTATATCATATTCATTTTTAAAACCATTAATTAAAAAATTATTTAATTACAGAGTGGTGTTAAATATATTGCAAGTCCTTCTGGTTCTGTAAATGATGAAGCAATAATACAAGCTTGTGATGAACATAAAATAGTATTAATTCATACTAATCTGAGATTGTTCCATCATTAAATGATTATATTAAATTATAATTTGATATAATAACAATTATTTTATTATATTAAAATTATTTTATTATATTAAAATTATTAACATTATTCATTATAAAAACTATTCTATCTATAATAAATAAAAAAATAAGTTAATAACAAATTTATTAAAAATATACCGAGTTATTTTTTAATTTAAAAATATTTATATATGCAATAATATATTATTATAATAATTATAATATTAAAAAAATATATTTTATTATAAAATAAAATTAATATGTGTACATGTAATAAAAAAATAAAATTATTAAAATAGAATTTTATATATTAATTTATCTTTTTTAATTTTAAATTTTATTTTTTAGGAGTTTAAAACTAATTAATACGTTCATATTTATATTTTATGTGATTAAATATTAAATAATTTAAAATGATTCATATTTGGAAAAAAATAATTGATATAAATATATATTGATTGAATATGCATCAATGTGTATTGGATTTCGTTGTATGTTTTCTATAGGAAAACTAGTGCTGTGTTCAAACTTCGAACGATAAACAAAAGCGAATAAATTGCAAAAATGAGTAATTCAACTATTTCTGATCAATCACTCATGGACAAGTCTATGCGAAGTGTTTTCGGTAAGAAATATTGTTTAATGCTAAATTATTGTTATTAATAATATATCGCATAACCTTCAAATACTCGTGATGTTTTTTAATAGTCGGGAATATCCCGTACGAAGCTACAGAAGAAAATTTAAAGGATATTTTTAGTGAAGTTGGACCAGTGCTTTCATTTAAGTAAGTTGATTATGCATTTAAAATATTATCAATTATTAATGAAATAATTATTTTTCATAATTATAATCTTATAATAAAATTTTATTTTAATTTTTTATCTATTATTTATTAAACATATTCTTTAAAATTTATATATTTAATATATAAAAAAAATATAAAAAAATAATATATTAATATATAAAAATTTAAAATATTTATTACTATTTAGATAAAATATTTTATTTTAATATTAAATATTTATTTCTGTTTCATATAGAATATATATTCATAACATTTTTTTTTTATATTTTTTTCATATATATTTAAAGTTAAAAGTTAATTTACCATAAATTTTTAATTGATTTAATTAGATTAGTATTTGATCGAGAAACAGGCAAGCCTAAAGGATATGGCTTTTGTGAATATAAAGATCAAGAAACAGCTCTTAGTGCTATGAGAAATTTAAATGGTTATGAAATTGGTGGAAGAACATTAAGGGTTGATAATGCATGTACAGAAAAAAGTCGAATGGAAATGCAAAGTCTTTTACAAGGACAAAATACTGAAAATCCATATGGGGAAGCAGTACAATCAGATAAAGCTCCAGAAGCTATAAGCAAAGCTGTTGCATCTTTACCACCTGAGCAAATGTTTGAACTTATGAAACAAATGAAACTTTGTGTACAAAACAATCCAAATGAGGCACGTCAAATGTTGCTTCAAAATCCTCAATTAGCATATGCTTTATTACAAGCTCAGGTAGTAATGAGAATAGTGGATCCCCATACAGCAGTTAATATGTTACATAAAGCAAATCCGATCCCAGGTGTATTAACACCTTCTGATAAACCAAATGTACATTCAGTTGCACCCCGAATTGAAGAACCATGGGCATCTACACGTCCGACGACAGTTACTAATCCTCCAGCATCTATTTTTGCTGGTGAGAACAGAATTTTAATTTTATTTATTTGAATGTAGATAAGTTTTTAATATCAAAATGATTAAGATAAATGTATTTATTTTTATATTTTTATATTATATTTAATAAATTTATTTTCATTTATTTTTTCCTTTGTAATATTTACAATAATAATATATAATAATATTTAATAATAGAATAACACTTATATTAAATGTAATTATTAAATTTATTATATTAAAATACTTTATAATATAAAAACAATGGTATTTTACAATAGGACAAGATGTTGATTTACGTACATTGGACAGACAAATGGATCCACGTTTAGCTAGAATGGATCAAGATCTAAGAGGACCACAACAAGTACAACCAACACCTGTTAGTTCATCCTCAGTTGTATCTGCCAATACAGATCCTAGAGGAATTAACACATTTAATATTTCAGACAAGTTAGTATTTCTTTCATGTTAAAAAAAAATTTTTAATTAATGTATCTTAAGAATATATTCTTTTTTACAGCACACTTCCTGTTGAAGGAGTTGAGAGGTTCTACAATTACTTTAGACAACGTAAAATCGAAATATTTAAAATGTTCTAAAAGTATATAATTTTTTTCAGTTTCTGTCGTGATCCAAGAACAGATAGATTTGGTAGAGATCCAAGAGATCCCAGAGATCCAAGAATGCCTATTGATCCTAGAATTACAAAAGCTAATCGTAAGTTTTTCAAATCTTTTTTGTTTTTTATAATATAATTATAAATTTAACTAAATTTAATTGATTCTTTATATTATTTATTTAATCAAATTAGCTTGATAATTCGATTTTTTAGCACCAGTACCAGTTGCACCACCAGTGGTGCCAAGACCTGTTGTTGCACCTACTGGTCAATCTTCAAATGTTGCTACAGCTAGTGTAGCAACTCCTGTTACTTCATTGACCACGTCAACTACATCTGCAACATCAAGACTTATGGCAGGCATGTCTCCAGCAGGAAATATACCGAGTGGAGCATCTGATCAAGAGAAGGTATTTAAAAAGAAGCAATGTATAAATATCAGTCAAATTTATATAAAAATATATAAAATTTCATATTATTCTTAGATACATAGAAAATAACTAAACATGAAAATAATTATTAATTTCATTTTAGGCGGCTTTAATAATGCAAGTATTACAATTATCGGACGAACAAATTGCTATGTTACCACCTGAACAAAGGCAAAGTATTTTATTATTAAAAGAACAGATTGCTAAAAGTGCACAACGTTAATATTTTTAATAATTTTGCTTGTTTTTATAATAATAAACATTTAAATTCTTGTAAAAATATTTTACTTTTTATAAAAATCGTAATAGTTTAATGTATAAACTTATTTCGATATGAGCATCAAGTTTAAAAAAAAATTTGTTTTTGATATTAATAATAATATAATAAAACAGAAAATAATATCACAAGAATGAATTCAACATAAAATTACATTGAAACTTAATAATTTTATATTAACTTATCATTATAAATATCAGAAATAAACATGTATTATTATTTAAGAATATGGATTGTCAATTTAATTTTTTCTAACTTCAAATAAACCTTCTTCAATAAGACTATTATATATGATGTTTTCAAATTTTTCGTCTTCGTATAATTCAACGCTCATGTATTCTTTATTGATTTCCTAAAATGATTAATTCTATTATTTATCATTGATTAGTAAATAACATTAGTAAACAACACATAATAATATATATATTTATATATATAATTCCTTACTTTAATTTTAGCTAGAACACTTCTATTATAAATTTTTTGTTGAAATTGAGATACTAGTTCGTTGTAATCTGCTGTAGAAGCAACTTTAATATTCCATAATTTACATTTTATTGCAATAGAGGGTAAATCCATCCATTCTTCTTTTAAAATATGTAATTCACATCTTGTAAAAAAAAGAGTTTTAATATTAAAATATAATAATATATTGATATTATAATAATATAAAATAGGTAAGTATTACTTACTCTTGAGAATTTATTTTTCTATATTCATCATTACCATAATCAACATAAAGCAGCTTAATTACAATGTTATCCGAATTTACAATAGGTTCTGATTCTGTTATTAAACATCGATACCAAAGATCATCATTGAATTTTGCACAACATGGCGTATCTATAACAGATTTAGATTTACTTTAGTTTAAAAGATGCATAAAAAAATAGAACCATACAATTATTTGTTATTTAATTCTTTTACCATTTCAATTTGAATTAAGAATAAGTTTTTGTTTTAAATAATTATTATATAAGTAATACTTACTAGGTATAAAGTTTGTAATCAAAGGTTGTTTGTAAGCATTTTCTTGTAAATCATTCATTAAAAGTTTATATTGTGTATAATATTCATTTAAAGTCTGGAATGTAATTTTAAATATTTAAAATATAATGAAAAAATTAAATATATATATATGTGTGTGTGTGTGTGTGTGTGTGTGTGTATGAACATTTTATTACATACTATAGAATGGGAATTTTCTTTTAATTGAGCGTAAAATTTAGTAGGACTGATACTACAACATAATTCTATTTCAATATAATCTATATCTTTTGGTATATTTACAAATTTATAATTCATTGCAAGATTTTCTTCAGAAACAATGTTAGGAGTTGAAGTAATTATTTCATTTTTTAATTTACGTAATGATATATTTTCAACGTCTGTAATAGTATCGTTTTCATTTTCATTTACAACATTTGTAAGTGGAAGTAATACAGAATTTCCTCTAATAATTGGATCTTTTATTATATCATCATCTGAACAAAGCGATCTTGAGTTTTCCGTAATTATATCTGAGGTAATAATTGTAAATATACTATTTTCGGATATGGTAATTTCAATATTGGGATTAATATTCATATTCCATTTATTGATAAGAAATGCAATTAAATCACTTTTTTCATTACATTGTCTGTTTGGCAATATGGTTAAAGAAATCTGAAAAAATGCAACAAAAATCATAATAAAGTAAAAAATATATTAAATAATTAAAAATAAAATCTAATTATTATATCACGTTTAAAATATCATAATTTATTTTATAAGCACAAGCATTATTAATTTTATCGATAAATAAAGCTTTATTTTTTATTACTTACAATGAAATGTGTTTTAGTTTTATTTAAGACTGTCACTTCACATTCTTGTTCAATGAGAAGACTATGTATTCTATCTAAATCTTCTGTCATCCATGTTCCATTTCCCTATCAGAGAAATAAAGTCAATCAAAAATTCTAGAATGCATTGATCGATTGATAATACATGAAAATATTTAAATCACTTACTGGATTTAAACCATAAATTACACATTTTGTGCATTGAATTGGTATATCTTCTAAAATAACTTTTTTTTTAAAGTTCCAATTGTACATTCTTCAATGTTTCCATAATCTATAAATTCCACCTGTAATAATTTTTATATTATTATAATATACTTTTATTTATATCATTATAAAAATTTATAATGAATTTTTGATGAATAATTTTGATTACATTAATTATATTATTTTCTCGAATTTCTACTACTTTTCCTCGATACCATTTTTTATTTGCATGATATTGTGCAATGCATAAATCTCCTACAGCCCATACAGTATCACAAGATTCAATTGGACAATTTTTATATAGTTTTTCTAATTTTAATTCTATATATTGTAATATTTTAACATCTAGAGAAAAATCAATAAAAATTGTATGAATTATAAAAAAAAACATAATGTAAATATATTATTAAATTACTAAAATTATTTTTTATTATGAAATTTATTGGAATATTTTTTAAAAATTTTAAAAAAGTTATACTTTGTGTTTTAGAATGAAGATACAAGAAGCCATTATTATCGATGTATGTCGGTATAGCAATAAATGTATCTTCTTCTATTGTTTTTACCGGTAACCAAGATGATAATTTTGGAAGCGAGGGAATATTATCAAGTATTTTTTCCATATTAGTACAATTTTGACTATCAGAGTCAGAATCTGAATAATGTAATACTGTGTCCCATATCATTTTATCAGTAATGGGATCGCAAATGTCATCATTAATTTGAAACCATTTCACATTTGACTCATATTTCGTTAATCTTTCTAATTTTTTTACTAATTGTCGTTTTAATTCAATTGCTAAAATTTTATCTCTTTTTTTTGCATATCTAAAAAGATTTTTAAGTATTAATAAAACATTGAATTGAAATATATCATTTTAAAAAATATTTTGATATAATTTCGTACTCTTTTACAGGCAAGGCTACTCCATCTTCGACTAACATTCTATTGACAGAATTAATTTCGTATCTTGTCGGTGCTAATGGTCCATCCATTTTTACTTGTTTAATCCATAATTCAACTGGTATCGCGGAGTCTTCTGTTTCTTCTTCTTCCTATAAAATAATAAAAAAAAATATATAAACAACAATTATGATTTGAAAAGATAAAATATAAATAATAATTTTATTACTTCAATATATTGACAAGACATTTATATTTTTCATGGTCCAGAACATGTTAAATATCAAAAATGTTATATTATTACAATATGACTGTAGATATAGGCATTAGATAATATAGTAATAAATATTAGAATAATGTTATAATAATTAATGTTAATATAATGTTTACCAATTTAGATATGTAAAACTTAGAATTCTGATTGTTGTTTATAATTTCGTGCAATTTCTCACAAGATAATGATGGCCACGTAGAGGATCCTCCGCACGGCAATATACCTGTCAGCTTTATTTTAAAAACGTATGTTGGTATTTTAGAAAACCATGGATACAATGATTGTATATCATTAATTGAGACAGTTTCTTCGATTCCTATGTCATATAAAAATACGACTACTTTATTGTCGATTTTTATATCAATGATTTTACCACGATAATACATGTCACTCCTTGCAAAATAAACTGCACAAGCAGAATCCTTGTTCCAAATGTCTCGTTTCGCGGGACGATACTTGTTATAAAATTCTTGCATTTGTTTCATCATTTTTTCTACATCACTTTGATCACAAGTGGCATCAGAAACGTAAATACTGTCCGGAGATAATACTTGGTGTATTAAAACACATACTTTGAAAGGATCTTCATTTTCGTCTACATTTTTGGTTTTTGTGTTTAAATTTATCGGATCATCATAAAGTTCACCTGGTAATTCTGTACAACTAGCACTTTTTCTAAATTTATTTTTTTTACTTTCAGATTTTTTACTCATACTTGTACTGAGTGAACTGTGATATAAAACGAAAAAAAAAAATTGTTTATATGAATATATATATATTATATATATTTTATTATATTTTTTTTGTGTTTCTATTTAATAAATTGATTTTAATAAATTTCAGAAGTAATAAGAATAATGTAAAAAATAAAAAAGATGATATAAAATGATAGAAAGAAAGAGTTCGAAACTTTAATGGCTTATAATATTAATTCAGAAAAATAGAAGATATTATAGGTCTTAAAATCAATAGTTTTAATATAAAACTGATGTAACTTTTGTTATTTACAAATATTTAAATAGATCATTGTTTTTAAATGATTCTCTAAAAAAAATCCTATTATTTAATATGTTGCAAGAATATTCACTAGTACATTTGCGAAAAAAAGATAAGATAATGTTTACATTTTTAATAATCGATACGATTTCAAAATATTCATAAATACTAAAAATTAATTAATCAAAAATATTGATGATAAGACCATCGATATAGTTTTTGGTTCTTTAAGAAAATCATTTCATATATATTTAAAATATTTACCTCGAATTAGAATATAATGTTATATCATTTTTTTTTATTAATAGATTAGCGACATTAATTTTATCATATGTATACATAATAACATCATACGTATCTCCGATCTTGTTAAAAGGAATAACTCTGAATTTTTTTCTATCCATTAGATATTTTTTTATAAATTCTGTCGTTTCCGATTCCCATTGGTTTTTATCATCAGGCTTTACATTTCTCAATGAAACTTTTATAGCCTGGTGAATAGTATTTTATTTTAAAAAAATTATTTTTGTAGAATTATAAAAGTATATATATATCAATTATATATATGTATGTATATATATGGAATTGATATGAATCATCAATTACTTGTGTTTTACAACTCATGTATTTCTTAGGTAGTGGTTTGATAGCATCGTAACTTAATATTAATGTATATCCTAAATCCACGTAGAAAACCTGCACCGTATTTTCGGTAACTTCGCATATTAATCCTCTATGCCAAAAACCATCAACTCCAGGCGCAGCACACGGTAGATCTATGCAAAAAATGAACATGCATACTGCATAATAAATTGTTGCATAATGCATAATGAAAGACAAGGAATATATAATAATATTGATATTTCATAATATTATTTTATTAAAAATTTAATAAGAGAAATTCAGAAGATGTACCTTTACAAGGTGTAGCGATATATTCCTCAGACATATCTTTTTCATAATTGTCTGTTATTTCTTGTATCAATTTATGGAAGTATGATCTATTTCCATGTGCCTATAATATATATTTAATCACTTATTAATATATATTTAATCAATTATGTGTATATAATAAAAAAATTATCAATTATAAAAAAAAATATCTGGATAAATACTAGTAATTTATATAAATTATAATAATAATTAATTCTGATTATACAACATATAATATATATAATTAGTTTTTATTATAGCGAACGTACTTTTTGAACATATATAGCATTTGGAGATTCAACAAATAAAACTTGAACATCCGTATAAATTTCCATTTCTAATTGTTCTTTATAATATTTTCTTGTTGAATCAGGATTTATTCTCTATAAACAAAAGATAATTAGTAAAATTATGTAGATTAAAATTAAAACACTAATAAACAAATTACCATTAATCTGTTTGGTGAAATACAAGTTGCGTATTTCATATACGTTAACGAATCTTTGATGGATATTAAACCTGAGTCTTTTGATGATATTGCGCATAGATCGACATAATATGTATCGCCTGTTATCATCTGAATGCACATCGAAACCATTGAATTTCTGAAAAACACATCACTTCAATCTCTAATGACTTTTTTCTTTTTTAATCAAAATTATAAAAGAAAAAATAAATTATAACAAAAATTAATGAAAAAAAAAAATATTGTTCGATTTCGATTAAAATTTAATCTATATAAGATATACATAATATATTATATATTGTATTATATAATATATATATTGTATATATATATTATATATTATATATATTATATATAATATATAATATATTATATATTGATTAATATAAATTTAACGTTATAAAATATATTAAGATAAATTAATTAAAATGATAGAAAATAATAAAAAATGCAATAAATAATCAAAGAGAATACAAAAATAATAATATTTAGACAGAGCAATAAATAAATAAGTCGAAATTCAATAATATAAAAAATAAAATAATAATTTTCAATTCAAAATTTGCAATTGTGCTTACGTGCAAACAAGTTTTTTAAATGCTCGAGTTGCATCTGGATGCCATCTACCATTGTTAGGAACAATATCGAACAGTGTGCATCTTAGAGCCATTACTGGTAGCATTGCAAATTGTGGCATGATGTTTCTTATTCTGATCAAAGGTACATTATCTTCTTTCATACCATAATCGATGAATAGCAAACTGTATCTTTCATCGTCGTCCGAAATCGTTTTCTTATCTGTGATACGTGCACGGTACCAAATCTTATTCTTCGAATATTGCGCAATATACAATGCATCTGCGAGAAATTTTTTTTTTTTAAATACAAGAAAAATAAAATGATCACAGTGTTATATTAGTTAAGATATTTAGATAACTTTAAATCAATGAAAGAAATATACGAAATATAATGGACATACTTAAAGTAATTTCTGTTGGTATTGTTCCGGTAGTGTTAGCCAATACAGCTAACCCCTTACTAAGTTCTGTTATTTTGTGCTGATTTTGTATTAACTGAACATAAAAGCAAGAAGGATCCTCAACATGAGTGATGCGGATCATCTCTGAGGATCCTAGAAACAAAAGGAATTTTTTTACTTTTATTTCATATTTATATTTATTTCTTTTATTATTGTATTATATCTCGACAAATTATTTCTAATCAATGAAAATCAATTACAATTTCTTTCTTTCTTTTTTTTTTTTTATAAAGAATCTTAAAATTAATATTTGTTACTCAGAAAGAATAATACGTACCGACAGTAAGAACATTATCTTTTTTTTTAGGAGGATGGGTCGCTTTAGTCTTATTCTTCGTGGATTTGTCCTTATTTTCTGCGGAGAATGAATATCTTTATTATCATGAATTAAAATTATTTATCTTATAATTATTATTTGTTTATTTGTAATTATGAAAATTGATATCGAGGAAAATAACATTACTCGAAATGCTGGTCTCTTCAATCAAAGGTTCTATTACATAATCTTCTGGTAGGGAGTTTTTTCGTTCCAAACTGAAAATTGTCGTTTCCGGTATTTGTACGCTGCAGTGTTTCTTTATAGCCTCGATAATGTTATCGTCGATGTGAAGTCTGTGAAAAAAAATCATTTCTTCGTCTTTAAAAAATTCTATATCTAAATATCAATAAAAAATAACATTAATTTTGCTTAAAAATATTTATAAAATCCCATCTGAATCTTTAAAAGATTTATCTTTTATCAATTCTTCCTTTTAAATTCTTTCAAACGATGTTTCTACCTAAGAAAAAATCATTTATATCCTTTTTAAATGAACTTAATTTTTATATTTGTTAAAACATAACATAAAACAGATATTCAGATGATTAAATTCAAAGATTCAAATGGAACAAATATTGCAAGAAATATTATCATAAATTTATACGTTAAATTAATGTTCACATTAATACTCGTAAAATCTCATAAAGAAAATTATTTTGCAAATTAAAACATAAGAATCTAATTGAACACGTATTAAAAAGAGAGATCGTATTTCACTTGAATTATGGAGTATAAGCATCGAGAGAAGGACCAGAGAGCACAGATTCTGTTTCAGAGCTTTATTTCTGTTGAGTTAATCGGAGAGGAAAATAAAAATGTAAAAATTCTGATGGTTGAAAAGAAAAAGAAAAAAAAGAAAAGAAAAAAAAAACGAAAAGGGAGGAAATATTTCGAAGCCGCTTTAAAACTGTAGATACATTCCGCTTTAATTAATTACTTTTACACTTCGTGTGCTTACTCTACACTATTTCTATTCCTTTCTCTTTCGCTGTCTTTCATTCTCTTTCCGTTTGGACATTTGTAAGCTGCTTACGAATATAAACGAGAGGATTTGTCCGCCTCTGTACCATCGTCGGTGTCGAGGAAAATAAATTGTTCAATATGCACAGGAGATTTTGATTTATCAAAAACTCTGTACGAAGTTTTTCCATTGTGTCGAAAAAAATCTCGGCACAGGAAAAAATGGAAGATGCGACAAGATTCGAGATAAATCGAGATAAATATTGCGATATCAATAAATATTGATCGATGTCAATAATCGATTGAAATGAAGATAAAACTCGTCGATAAATATTATTGTTTATTCCGCTCTTTCTTCTTTATATTTATCGATCGTTTTTAAGGAAATGGTTATTATTTTAGATGGAAGTGGAAATATTGAGATGACCGATATAAATTATTATTTTACATAAAATGGAAAAAAAAAAAAAAAAACAAAGATAGAAACATGTGTATTTTAAAAAATTTCCTTTTTCTAAGAGTTCTTTTTTTTTGTTTCTAATCCTTCACTGTTATATTATTTATATAAATAAAAAATAAATGAAATAAATAAATAAAAAAAAATTATATTTGATTTTTACGTATTTCATTTTAGCTTGTACACATTACGAAAATTATATAGTGTAATTAAAATTTAATTCAAACTACACGTTAATAAGAAAATAAATAATGAATAAAAATTAATAAATATAATAAATAAATAAACAAAACACAATATATTACATACTTTATCTCTTGGTCGTCTGGCACATTATTTTGTATCAAATGGCAAGGAATATCGGTCAGGGGCTTTAGTTTTTGTATAATCTGTTGAAGATCTATTTTATCAAGACTTTCTGTAATTGCTGTAGTTACCTGAAAAGAATTACTTAATTATACTCAATCTTTTTACAAGTTTTCTGGTATTTAATCAACGACATAATTTTCTTTTAATAAAATAAAAAAAAAAAAAAAAAAAAGGAACATAATATTCTTTTTAACAATAATAAGAACAATTTTTATTCTTTACTTGTTGAATTTTTTAATGTGAACGAATGTTTTAAATATTGTTACAGTCTTTCCTATTTTTCTATTATACGTGTAATTTTTTTCTGCTAAGTATTTAAAAAAAATTTAAATGATCTCTTTTTTAAATCATGACAACCTCATAGTCGAAATTCCATATACTAATCTCGAGGAAAATCTCGTTACGAGTGCAGTGTTCCCGTTTATTGCGTACAGATCAAACATTATACGAATGAAAGCGGCAGAACTTCCCCGTGGATCTAATAATTATATCAATTAAGTTGAAATTGCGGATGCAATAATGCTTTGTCTAAAAACATAGATATAATTCAAATACGAATAGTGGTATGTATATAAAATGTAGTGCCAATTTCAAACTGAAAAATGTAAGATGATACCTTATGCAAATTGAAATTTGCAATTTTGACAAATCAGATTTATATAAATATACATAAGTTGTAAATGATAAATTTATGATTTATGAATTAATGTTTCTCACTAACAATGTTATGAAATATTATGAAATTATGAAAGATCAAAATTATGGATCGTACGTGTTAAGTTAACACAAAAGGATCTTCAAATTTTTAAATTCTCCTCGCCATTTATTTTCATCAAACTGTACATAACATGATTCTTAGTTTATTAATTAAAACCTTCTTATTTCCAAATTAAAGAATAATACATTTCTTAATAAATATAACATAAGAAGAAAACTTTAAATATCAAGGATTCTTACCACAATGGCAGACTGCAGCCGTTCCTCGTGTTCTTTCAATTGCGTGGAAATTTCGTCAATATTTTTATTTCGGGAATTTTTATGCGCCCGCAATGAATCGATAATTTGTTTCTCTGCACTTTGAAGGATACCGTGTAGATAAGTGAAATGTTGAGTGACAGTTCCCTCCACAATATCGGAATTTTTGGTTCCTATCGAAGAGTAGGATATATTTTTCAATTTCTGAAATGCAAACATGAAAATGGACAGTGATTAGTCTAGATCTAAATCGATGTTCATCTGTATGTATCTTTCAAAACAATAAAATAAAAAAAATATACATATATATAGAAAGTAGAGAGTAGCAAGAAAAATCTGGACAAAATAAAATCAAACGTTAAAACGAAAAAAAGAAAAGGATTGAAATTTAATCAGATGCGAAGAATTCTTTACACGTTCCTCGATATCGGAACAAAGGCCATCGTTCCAAGGACCAAAGAGTCATTTATTCAAAAGTGGCGAGAACACCTTTCTTTTCTTTTTTTCTCACTGAAAAACTTCACACCGAACTCTTGCAAACTGAGCTTATCTAAAAACAGATCTTAGAATCGAACTTAGATCGAGTAATGATTTTAAGGAAATTTAAGAAAGAGAGAAAAATTTAACGAAAAAAAAAAAAAAAAATAACACCTTTAAAAGGTTTAACTTTCTCATCGAAAAACGCTATGTAAACTTTTCTAATAAATCGGCGATAAAATTTCGAAAACCGATCCTGGCTTGGAATTAAAATCGATGGTTTAAAAAAAAAAGATGGCGGTATCTAAGCAGATATTCCAGATATCGATATATCGATAGAGGAAATTCAATCGATTCGATCGAATCATGGCGAAGTTTTATTTCAATAAAACATCACGACTCTGTTCGACTCGGAATAAAAATAAAGAAATCGCTTCACAACGAATTATACGCAATCTGGAGTGCTGATGTAATACGTTGATTGATATTCGACCGGCAGTTTGGGTCGCGTTGTTAAGAAATCGAAACATCTTTAGCAATGCGTGCCGAGTATAAATAACTCGCTCGATGGACCTGGACCTGACAATACCTCTTTCTAAGATTGAAAACGAAGCTAGAAAATTGATTTCGAAACGAAGGGCAAAAATTCACCTCCGTAATATCGATTTCTCATATACTGATATATTTTTCTTTTTTTTTTCTTCTCTCTCTCGTACTCGTAAAATTATTCTTAAATGACATTGATCAAACTACGATTCGCCTCCACCACTTATTGTCTCAATACTCTATCTCATCCACACCCTTCGAACGAACAAACAAAAAGAATGACAAGAACAATATCATCCAACCATCAACGCGGCTCATCCTTCGCCTCGAATGGATCCAACACCATCAACTTGTCCTGTCATCGGCGTGAAGTGGAAGGTCGTCGCTCGACTGACTTTCTAGAGGATCCACCGTGAAGGGAGACGACTTATCCGAGCAGAGCAGAGATCGAGAATGGCAGGGAGAGCGGAGAAGAAGAGAAGAGGTGGTCAATGGTGTTCGACCAAACAAGCCGAACAAACGCGCCTTTCCCCAGTCTTTCGCGTCCCGAGGACCGGTTACCATTGCCGATCCGTTGTGTCACGGTGTTGTTCACGGTGTCGTCGTCCACCAGTGTGTTTCGTCCCTCGAGTTGTGGTCACCGTGTTTACACGCCGAGGATGACACTGGTTCTCCCTCGCCGTGCGCTTCGATCCTAGTCTTTGGATTGCCGGTTCGTTTGTCGGAGTGTTTTTGGGGGGGTTGGAAGTGGGATAGAAGGGATCATGCGGGCCCACGACAACCTGTGCTCCTCGCTGGGATACGTCGTGTTCCTTCTGTTGCTCGTTGGTGAGTTCTTGTGTTCCACGATTTTTTTTTCTTTCTTCTCTTTTTCAATAGCGATTTTTCTCGGATATGGACGAGTATGTGGTGACGGTGTATAATTTTTTTCGTTTTTTTTTTTTTTCGTAGGCAGTTGAACAAGTTGTTTGTCGCGTTTACATATAAACGTCGAGGTTTATTCGTTTAAATTGGTCGTAACTAAGTTTGACGTTTGTGCAAAGTGAAATTTTTACGAGCACACAGAGGAAATTCCAATGTGATTATACCTTCCCCCCCCCCCCTCCATTAATTACGTAACAAGAGAACTAGAAACGCGTTATAAAATTAAGTTTGAACGAGTAAGTGAGTATTACTTTGTGATGATGCATCTCTGTGACGAAGAACAAGAATGAAAAGAGGATAAACAATTATTAAGAGGAGTCTTATTAATCACGATTCACAGTGATATTTAATAAACGTGCATCTTGCGTTCTGTTAAGCAAGATGAATTATTGCTTAGATCGGAATCAACAGAGAAAAAAATTAAATTAAATCGAAAGCTAAAACAATATCTTTTTATTTGCGATAATTTTCTTTTTCAAATCGGTATAGTCATCGGTGATCATGAAACAACATTAAGAAACAAATATTTTTTTCAAAAAAAAAAAAAATAATCAAAACGAATATGAAACGAAGAAAATGATTCGTTTGTCGAGCGTCATCGAGGTTGAAATTACGTGCGTGGCGAGAGTTGCGCTTCGAGAAAGGAAAGTACCGCGAAATATTAGTGATGCAAGTCCATTGTCTCCATCGAGTCCTGGCATTCTGATTGCCAGCAGACGCTTTTCCTTCCACCGTGTAATCAACAACAGACGCAGACGCTATTTCCAGACCAGATACGTAACAAATTCTCACGAACGTTGTAAAAAGTTGACGATGATTAACACCGCTCCGATACCGATGGCCCCTAATAAGGCCGTCACAACGCTTTCTACCTTCCTTCCTATTGTTGGCCAGAGATTCGAGTCATCGATCAATTTCGCGCCGATGAATTGTTATCACGATCGCGTTACTCGTTTCTCGGGCACGTAAACCGCACGAAAAATCAATTTACCGATCCCTCTAACAAGAGAGAGGGAGAGGGAGAGACGTTTCTAAAGTAGGTGAACTCGAGTGGCCGTGCAAACGCGCGAGTTGGACGAGTCTTAGGAAGAAAGCGACGAGTCGATTGGAAAATTTCGAGCACGCACCCTCTCTCTCCATTTTTCAAAAATATCGGTTTTTATCGATTTTTGCGTTCGTATTTTTTTTTAAATTTCCACGCCTTCGAAGCTTTGAAAAGATTTTGAAATTGGGGAAAGTTTCGAATTCGAAACTTTGAAGCTTGAACATTTACGAAGTTTGAAATTTAAAACTATTACGCGCGATATCCATACTCTTTCTTTTCAAAAATAGAATACTTCTTCTAGAAAATTAATCTTTTCCCAATTCGATTCCTTCCTTCATCTCCCGTCGAAAAGCTCCTCCTCCCCCTCCTCCTCCTTCTCTTCTCCTCCTCCTCCAAAAAAAAAAAAAGAAACACAACCAAAACAGACGAAAAATAATCGCACTTTTCAAATGATCGAGAGAAATAATCCCATCAGTCACCGTCATCAACCTTTTGTTCAACCTCTCTCTCTCTCGATCTTTCGAGCAAGCAACAAAAACGCGGAGGAGGAGGAGGGGGTTGGAAATGTAGCGGCGGCAATCTCGTTTGCCCTGCTAAATCAGCCGCAAAGAATCCACTTTAACGTGTTCGCGGTTGTTAATTATACTGCGTAAACAGTCAAAGGGAGTCCTCCGAAGGAGGTGGAGAAAGGAGGGGGTGGGGTAGGGGAGTCGCGTCGAAACCTTGTCGACGCTACGAAATTAAGTTCATCCTCGTGCGATCCAACCCCTCTCCTCGTCGAGTCTCCTCCGACTCGACTCTTCTCTCCACCTTCTCTTCACCGATCGATACCCTCCTCCTCCTCCTCCTCCGTCTTCCCTCCACCTTGGATCCACCTTGTCGTGGATCATTCTCACAGAGAGAGAGGGAGAGAGAGGGAAGGAAGCTTGTTCGCCCGTTCGTTTGTTCATCGACGTTTAATTAGGTATACGAGTTAAGATCGATCGAGATCCGTAAAACGCGGGAAAACGGGATTAATCGTTGGAGTTTTATCCAACGATACTTGAACAGACACACGCGCGCACACTCGTTTCTCGATCGAGAGATCGAGACGGGACCTGGATTCGCGCGAAGAGGTTAATAAAAGCGCGTATTAATGGAGCTCTCCCCCTCTCTCTCTCTCCTCCCCCTTCGGTTTAATTCACCTTCCTTCCATCTGTAAACTTTCATCTCTACCCCCTCGATCGAACATACCGAGCATTCGTGTATTATTCTTGGATATTATTAATGGAATACGTTAGTCTGCCCGAATGCCAAACGGGTATGGAATCCAAGTTTCAAGGTGATGTAACCTTGCCTTGTTGTTCGAGAAGGAGGAGGAGGAGGAGAAGAAGGAGGAGGAGATCGTTATTTTTTACCTGAATCGTGAGTAAGGATTTTGGAAGTATGTTGTTATGGTCTGTTAAGGAAAAGAATATTTTTGATATGGAGGATTTTGAACGAGTTTCGATTCATTTGTTTTACTTGACAGATTGGTAGAATCTGAAATGTGAAGAAATCTTGTTTGCGAAATAAAAGTTTTATGAAAGGTATGTTCTCTTTTCTAAAGAAATGATTAAAAAAATATTGGTATCTTTAAATATGGCGGATTGTCGAAAAAAAAAAAAATACTTGTATACAGGAAATAAAAACAAAAACTTTTTAAAAATGTTGCTTCAAAAATTTTTCCCAATAATAAGCAAGATTGGGCTTGATATCTTGTAGGGGACGAATTAAATAACGTTTTTCGTTTATCTAAAGGTATCCATCATCATTATCGATGAATCTTTTTCACGTGATATATAAATTGACAGGGTGATACGTCCCAAAATTACGTCCATGGCAGTCTCATGGCAGAATAAACGCGTTTAAAACGATCGAGTAATCCATTTGTTAACGTTTCTTCCATTTATCAAGCCCATTCTAGCTATTAATCCTTTCAATTTTTCTTTAGAGGAAAGATTCTTTTTTTTTTTTATCAATTAATAAAAAACCTTTCTTTCAGACAATCAAATTCGAACGAAGAAAATCGAAGGAATTCGTATAATAAAAAATCAGCGATCAACCAACCAAGGATATCAAGTCCACTTTCAAATATATACGAATAAAATGCAGTTCATATTTTATCTCGACAATGATCAATTCGACGAATATATATGTATATACATCGTGAACATTCCTCAACTTCTTCAACTTTCCAAGCCGCGAGTATCATAAACATTTCTACACTAATAATTCCATAATTTTCTACCTAAATTTTCCATAATATTCGTGAAAATTTCTAAGAACTTTCGAAAATGCAATTATCTGCAAAAACATTTCTACGAATCTAACGAAAATTCTGCAATATTTCCATCGACGATCCAAAATTCTAAAAAAATGAAAATATATCTTTCTCCAACAACGAGAAACTCAACTTTAGACGTAGACAAAGTACGAAGGCCCACGAAATGGGCAACAATATCGACGATGAATCGCGGACGATGTCCACAACTTTCCGGTCTGGTTGATCGGAAAGAGAGCGAGGCTGAGAGAGCGATCCTTGAATGAAAATTATTTCTCGATCTAGACCACTGCAAATGGCCCCACCAACTGGAACAACGCCTTTCGAATCGGTCGATCGGCCTGGCCGGAGAGAAAAATATCTCGTTTGTGTGCGCGCGTGACTCTGAAAACTCGATAAAGGCGAGTAAGAGAAGCCCGGTTGCTCTGAGTGGCGGCCATCTCCTCGAGAAGCGGCACCAACCGCCTAATTTGCATTTCGAATGCCTCCCCTCTCTGGATCGGTGGATAAATACTTGTAGTAGCGCGGTTCCTCGCGCCTCCTTTCCTTTCCTTCGTGTTTTAGAACGGAGGGAGGAGTTTCACGGGGGATCATCTTAAAGTGGTGAGTGGTTTTTTAGGAGAGACTATGATGGGAGATTTGGACGATCTTGTAAATTTTTGAAAAGGAGACGCGTATAACGTTGAACGTCGCGAATCGTAATAAGTGAATAAAAAAATTCATGATGAAAAGTATAATAATAAAAATGGAAGTTTGACGATAACGAACACAACGAAAATGGATATCGATTACTGATATCGGTAGGCGACTTCCTTTCTGTCTATCGTATCATTTCTTCTGGCCGGGGGACTAATTATCATTGACAGGCTCAAAGCGAGAGTGTCGTCCCGTTTTTTTCCTTTTCAATCTGAGATATATGAAAACGATACAAAGTGTAAATATTTCGTGTACCGAAAACACCTCTTCAATCTCTCTTTGTGGCCGATTTAATTTTCTGAATCGCAATCGGCCGAGAGACGAGAGAGTTAAAGACACGATGATTTCTTCAATTAAAATTAATGATGTCGCAACACGGGGTCGAGGCAAGATTTGATACAGGGGAAAGGGATGATTGGATGCGCGATAGGATGCTTTACGAGTACTTTGTGTTCGATATACATATATACAATTTGTTATTACATCATCAAGTGTAAATAGATTTTCTTCTTCTCCGTTTCAAGAAACGAAGAATGTAGGAGTGAAGAGAAAAAAGATTTCCAATTTTTATCGGTTGGATGCATTCCATATATCTCCTCGTGATCTTATTACGCGTCAAACCGGAATAGTTATTGGAACGCATTAGTTAGCGTTCAACCAGTCAATACAACCATTCGAAACTGCGTATTCCAAGCACGAGCTCCATCGTGTCCCATCGATTTTCTCGAATATCTCAATCGTGATAAGAAGCAACAATAACAATAAGGAAAACGTCAGTTCCCTAATTCAGTTTCAGCGCGCAATGCTGGTTGCTTGAATTGTTTCTGAAACGAATCACGGGTATGCTCTCGCGTGTACACG